AAAAAAAAAAAAAAAAATATATATATATATATAATTTTGTATTGAGAAATAACTGAGTCAGCTCATGACCAAATTTACCAAGTACTTTTGAAATAACAATTCAGGTAAAGAAGAGGAGACGCTCTCGATCTCCCCAAGGACCATGTTTGTCTCGTCCAAAGGCCATACCTTCCTAGCAGCAGGTGAGACTCGGATCATAGAAGCTCACTCACTTTTGCATTTTCATATAGTCGGATACTTAGAAACTGAGTACTTCAAAGGTCCTTATAGAACTTACTCTTTCAAATAAATCCTAAGGCAGAGATTTATAGGAAATAAAGATTTCTCATGCACAGTAAATAAGAATAGGTCTTTTGCTTCAAGGTTCCCTTCATCTCACCACAGCCAGACCCCAGACAGCCCTGAAGGGTCCTGCTCAACTTGCTCCTCTCCTGCCTGTCTTCATCCGCTGATTTCTGCCTAGCTCACTATCCATGGCCTCCACACCTGCTCTGGTCCTCATCCCCTCGCCAGCTAGTCCACCCAGGCTGTGCTTCTTCCCCAGATGGCATTTTGGTACCTCCTTTGCTGCCCCCATGCTAGATGTCACTGTCTTGGTGAGGCTTATACACCCACATAAAGTGGCTGATTACCCTACTTATAAAGCAGTTTTCCTCCACACACTCCCAGACCTCCTCACACACCTTGGTCGATCGTTTCCATTTAATTTTACAACTTGTAACATACCAAACAATTTATTCAAGGTCTCTGTCTCCTCCTAGAATGTAAGCTCCATGGGGAAGGTAATTTTGTTTGTTCTTCACTGATATACCACAAGCACTGAGCCTGACACATAGTAGGTCCTCTCTAAAATGTCATGTACAGAATGAGTGAATGAACAAATTAATGAATACGGCCCACCCTGAAGGCCTCGTTGGCCTGCAGGAGGCAGAGAAAGTGTGCAGACCAAGACTAGGCCTTGGGGAAAGGGGTATTGACTTTGACTCCAGGAGGAGAGGAAAGTCTGAGGGTGGGGTGGAGGAGCAGCCATGAGGGCCATCATCCCGAATTCTGAGTTAATACAGCGCTCTCTCTAACAGACTTTTCACAGATTGAATTGCGCATTCTTGCGCATTTGTCTGGGGATCCAGAACTTTTGAAGTTATTCCAAGAATCTGAGAGAGATGATGTGTTTTCTACTCTGACCTCACAGTGGTAAGCTATCTGTGTGGGTATTCAGACCAGCAAGAATGCCTGAGGTCATTCCATGGCTATTTTCATAAGACAGAAATTATACTTTTTTCTGTGGTAGTTGATCTGGTTGAAAAGAAGGGTAGACAACCAGGAGTTTCCTGCTGTGTTTCCCTGAAAATAAGACCTACCCAAAAAATAAGCCCTAGCAGGATTTCTATGCATTTGTTAAATATAAGCCCTACCCTGATAATAAGACCTAGTGATGGGCTTGGCTATGTATGCATTTCAGAGCAGCGCAGTAAGGAAGACTGGAATACCTTTTATCTGCCACAGCTCCTTTCTCCAAGCCGCTCACACTTGTGCAGGTGCGTGTGTGGTATCCACAGTCGCAGGTATCCTATTGTGCACGTGCGAATGGCTAGGGGAAAGGAGTTCATGCATCACTAGCGCCAGCCCCACCAACAAGGTCGGCTCCCCCTGTCAGGTTCCAGAAGAAGATGCCTTAACTGTATTTGAATAAATGTAGATTGTTGTATTATACTTAATAAAAATAAGACATCCCCTGAAAATAAGCTTTAGTGTGTCTTCTTGAGAAAAAATAAGTATAAGACAGTGTCTTATTTTCAGGGAAACACAGTAATAATGGAGGGACTGATGGCTCTTCACTGCTAAAAAGCTGAAAAGGAAGTGGATCACTGGAGAATGTTATAGAAATGGTGTTAGTGTTAAAACCAGGAGCCCACCCCTTGGTGAGTGTCTGGCAAGAGCGCTGTGTGCTGCCGTGAGGGTGGTGGCCTGGCCAGCACAGCAGGCCCTTTCCACAGAGGCAGATATGCAGGGGACCTCAGGACAGTGTTGGCAGCAGGCCTCCTGGTCCTTCTTTCTGTGTCTTTTCTTAGGACGTTTGTTCTCCTTCCACCAGGCTGTGCACAAGTTCCAGGTGCTCTGGCTGCAGACAGTGGCCACACCCCCAGTGGACCAAAGAGGAGCAGATGGTATAAATGGCTTATGGCTTATACTTTATACAGTCCAGTGTTCAACAGGGCCAGAGTGGGAGTTTGCTAGGAGGAGGAAAGCCACCCACACCCAGCTGTGCCTGGCCCTCCTGTCCTACCCCAGGTGTACCCGGTGCTCCTCTCCTACCCCACGTATACCTGGCACTCATTCAGCTCCAGGGGGACCGTGTCTGCAGAGCTCCTTGGCAAGCATCACAGTGGTGGGACTCAGGGGACTTGTTGATAAGTGAATGGACAGCCCCGAACTCAGACTTCCCTTTGGATCAGAAAACATCTCCTCTCCAAAAAGACAATCATCACCATGTATTTGAATAATAAAATTTAGGAAGAAATATTTTATGTAAAGGGAGTACAGGAGGGGAAGGTCACTATACACAAAGCCAGACTTTAAAGACTAGCTGTAGAAGTTGTGTTTGTGAAAGTGACAGCAGGCAAGTGACAAAAACAAAGAATAATGAAGCGTTCACCCACACAGAAAAGGCACTGTGCCAGGTGGAGGGGAGTCACAGGGTCCACTCAAGGCTCTGAGGTATCTGTGTCCAGCAGCCTCTAGTATGAAGTGGTGTTGGTCATAGTTCTGACTTGCATTTCCCAGGTGAGTGTGGTCTGAGCATCTTTTCATGTACTTGACATTCATTCTTTGTCTCTTCCCTCCTCTGCACCTTGGACATAGGCACCCTGGGGTCCTGCCTGCCCATCTTTCTCTACATTCTTCCCAGAAGGTGTCCTTCTTTTTCACTTTCACTTTCTTTCCAGTTAGGAGATGAGCTAACAGAATTGTTAGAGTATACAGTAGATTTAATAACACCTGTACCTCCCTGCAGAGGTATGGAAAGTCATAGAAAATGGCCTTTCTTCAGGCAAGAAGAGTATTTTGCTTCTTTGGTCACCTCGTGAGCTTTCCATTGTAGTGCTTAGATGGAATAAGCACCCTGGATCTTCTATTTACAATGTGAGAGATTCTCTCTGCGATTCAAGGCTAGTATTTGTGCATAGATCACAAACATGCCATTTTTGTTCAGTGGGTCCAAAACTACTCTGGCTGTTGCTGACCAAGTATTACAGGAAAACATAGGAGTCAAAGTACTAGGGAAAGGATGCAGCTAAAGAAGTACTAAGAAGTGAGTGTGCAGCACTAGATGCTCACAGTAGAAGTCAGGAAAGTTCTCAAATCAACAGTCTAATTTTCTATCCTAAGAAACTTGAAAAAGAATGGCAAGGTGAACCCAAATCAAGCAGAAAGAATGAGATAATAAAGATGAGAACAGAAATAAATGAAACGGAAAATAGGAAAACAATAGAGAAGATTATGAAAAAAGAGCTGATTCTTTGAAAAATCAATAAAATTGATAAACTCCAGCAAGACTGACAAAACATGAAAAGAGAATTGTCAGAAATCATCAATATCAGGAATGGAATAAGGAATATAACTGGAGACCCTGGAGACATCAAAGGGAGATAAAGGAATACTGTGAACAGCTTTGTATTCCAAAAATTCAGCAATTTAGAAGAAATAGACCTATTTCTTAAAAATTACAAACTGTCCAAACCTAATTAAGATGAAATAGAGAACATGAATATTTCTTTCTTT